AAAAAAAAAAACAACCCAAGAATTCACTCAGATGTATACAACAGTTCAAAAAGCAGTAAGACAATAATTGGGGCTGGAAAAGTTACCAGTAGTCTGGGAAAAAAAGAAGAGAAAAATAAAACCATTATAAAAATGAAAGTCATGTCAGAGTAGCAAAAAATAAATGTACAGGGCTGCAACCAGAATTGTGCAGGAGAGAGCTTGAGAAAAATAAAGCAAATTAAAACGGAAAAGGAATACAGATCACAATTTGCAGAAGGAATGGTAACTGCTGAAGACAAAAGTGATCTAAGATAAAAGTAATTAGAACCAGGGCGCGTGGGTGGCTCAGTCGGTTAAGCGGCGACTTCAGCTCAGGTCATGATTTCACGGTCCGTGAGTTCGAGCCCCGCGTCGGGCTCTGTGCTGACAGCTCAGAGCCTGGAGCCTGGCCTGTTTCAGATTCTGTGTCTCCCTCTCTCTGTCTCTCTCTGTCTGAAAAATAAATAAATGTTAAAAAAAAAAAAAAGTAATTAGAGCCTCTGGAGAAGACAATAAGACAAATGGGGAAAAAATATTAACAGAAACAGAGGGGGAAATTCCCCAAATAAAACCTACGGCAATTCATGAGCCATAGTACCTGTGAGCCCTTATTGAGAAAATGACTCACTTAATCTAACCAAGAGATGAATCCAAGTAGAGAACCCAGGAATAAAGCTACCATGTTAGGAAAGACATTAGGGTTAGAAAACAGATGTGTAAAACTGTGTGAATCTTTGCGCTGTAGAGATAATAATGTGATTGAAGTAGGACAGTGAGACTCAAAAAATATGTCTATTTGAAAGATAAATGAAGGTGTGGATTTTTAGGACATTATTTGATTTTAGTGTTAGGAGCTTAGTTGGGCTGGGAAAGACAGCTGAGCTCTCAGGGGTCAGAGTAGTTTTTATTCAAACAGCAAGGCGAAAATGAAAGAGTGAAGCCTTTTTCACTTACTGCGGTGGTGTAAGCAATTCTGTGCAATAAGAGGAACCACCAGGACCCCCTGCTGCATTTCCCCCATGCGACAGCGTACGGAGGGAGAGCCGGGGGTGTCAGCACAGATGTGGGAGTCAGCTCACTGTCCAGGGAGCCCCAGCCTTGGGGAAATTGTAAGAGGGGAGGGCTAGGAATGCCAAGTGCTGAGTACCATTCAGAATGGGGAGAAGCGTCTTCGAGGTTTCCACCACCGTCTCCGGGAAGGAGGCCTTGACAGAGCTGCTTGAAGAGACCTAGACATGCAAATCTGTGAAGAACGTGCTGGCCAGGGCGCCTGCATCCTCGACTGTGACAGCTTGCAGAGCCTGCGACGAGCTGGCTGTGTTCGGAGTCTGGAGTGGGAAGGGCAGCCTTTGTAACTGCCCACAGTCAGGCCCAAAAAATCACAGGGAGGTTTAGAACCAGGAGCAGGACTCTTCGGTTATAAAGACAGCTAGTAATAAAACTGCAGGCTAATGTATCTAGGTAGAAAATGAGGAATTAGTAGTCAGTACTGTATAAATTTCACATGAGCAGAAACCTTGTCTGGTTTGTTCCTTGTTGCAGACTCGGCACAGTGCCTGGCAGAGGGTAGATCCTCTGAAATATTGATGGATTACTTTCTGAACATTGTTGAATGAGCAACATATTGGGTTAAAAACGAGGACATACCAGGCAAATGGAAACAAAGGCTAACAGTTTCAGAACTGGTATTAGTTAGAATGGATTCCAAGGCCAGAGCATTTAAGAGTCATAGAAAGTTACTTTATAATGATGATTAGGATGGTCCTCAAGAAGGATTGTCATATTTATGCACAAAATAACATGAGAGTTCACAGAACAGGAAATGGTAGGAAATATCCACTCAGTTTTTATTGGATACCTACCATATGCCACAATACAGGAAAATCATTGTCTTATGAATATAAACACAGGAATTCTAAGTAAAATATGACAGAAGCACATTAAAAGAATAATGTAGCATAACCAAAATGGATTTTGTTTTGGGGAATATAATAGTTTAGTACTTAGGAATTCTATTAATACTATTCAACATGTTAATAATGGGAAACAGCAAAACTATGTATTAGAAAATAGTTGACCAAATGCAGGGTTTTCTGCATTTGGGTTTTTAATCTCCCTTAATAAAATTAGGACATATGTGTACTAGTACAGACACGTATGTTATTTAGTGGCTTTACGTGTGTGTGTGCACGTGTATATTTCTGTTTAAACACACACACACACACACACACACACATATATCTCCAAGTCCAGTAACATGGTAAAACTTTAAAAGCATTCTCGCTAAAATGATGAATAAAACAAGGATGTCCACCATTGACATTGTTATTTAATATTGTTGTAGATGTTAGGTAATATACTCACACAAGGGAAATAGCATATAACTATCAAGGAGGATTCTAAAGAATAATTGTATAGGCCTGGAAAACAGAAAACATACTGTGCTAAAAATACGATGAGGAACAATTAGTACATTTAATAAGGAGACTGGTTACAAAACATATGATAACCAGTAGCTTATATATATAAACAAACACCTGTGAGAAAATATAATAGAAGAAATTTCCTATTTATAGTAGCAACAAGAAACTTATAAACACCGAGAAATAAACTTAAGAAATCTACAGGACCCACATGGGAATAAAAGATTTGAAAAATGGAAATATGACTGAATAGCGTACAAATTTCAGTTCTCTTTAAGTTAAGTATAAATTTACTAAAAATAGTCAAAAGTTTTCTAACCTACCAAGTTATTCCTAAAGTTTAAATGAAAGTTAAGTATAAGAACAGAGAGGAGACTTTCTGCAAAAAGAAGTAATAAAGTTAGTAGGGGAACTATTAAACTGCTCATCATTGGGTGATAAACAGTGTTACTGCACTGAGTTGACCTAATGTACTCTGAAAGCAAAGGTGTTTTCATAACTTTATGGCCTGGTTATAGCAAAAGAATAGATTTCCATCAGCTTTCAAACATAAGATTATTAAAGATAATTGTGTATCTCCATAACTACTTTCTTGAATTTTGACACATTAAATGACCTAGAATGCCAGGTTAAATAAAGTTGTAAATGGCTTAATTGAGTAATTATTTCTTGCATATTGCCCTATCATTTGATTTTTTAAAAAAATCACTATTTTGAAGAATACTTTAAAATTGTAAGTTTTTATGCCAAGCTGTATTGGAGGCAGTAACTCTGTTTACTTCCTTTAGATTTTAGACATAGGATGCTCCTGATGTAAAAGGTAGTTGTTTTCTTTTTACTTTAGTTTTAGGAATTTAGCTTTAATCCATCTGCTTTCAGTTACGAAATTAGTAAGTTGCTTATCACAATAGTCTTGTGCTCACAGGCTCTTTAACTTGAGTATGATGTGCTAATTGTACTGCATTGCCCCGTGTGTTCTGACAGACTGGTCAGTGTATGATTTACAGACTGCTTTCCCTAGAACTCAAGGGTTTCAGAGGTGCTTTAGGAACTTTTCAATATTTAATTTTGATTTCATTTTACATATATACCTTAAACTACTTAAAAGCCTGTGATTTAAAAATGACAGGCACATATATTTATGCTTTTCATACAGTAGAGACAACTGATTGGTTCCCCAGGTTAATTCACTCTTTATAGAACTTAGAATATAGCTTGTCCTTTTCATGTACTTGAACTTCTTAGCAATGTGTCATATTTAGGAAGCTTGTGGTCCTAGGCTTGTTGCTTGTTTCTGGCCAAGCTTCATGAAGATTGGAAAGCCCATGACTTGTTTCTCTATACAGCAGACCCCCTTATCTATGGGGGATGCATTCCAGGACCGCAGTGGATGCCTGAAACCTCAGATAGTACCAAAGCCACTGTATATACCATGTTTATTCTTATACATACATACATACATACCTATGATAAAGGTAATTTATAAATTAGGCACAGTAAGAGGTTACAACAATAACTAATGATAGAACAGTTATAGCAATATGCTGTGATAAAAGGTGAATGTGGTCTCTCACCCTTCTTGTGATGACGTGAGATAACAAAATGCCTACATGATGAGATGAGGGGAGTGAATGATGCAGGCGTAGTGGCTGCAGGGTTAGGCTGTTACTGATCTGACCCTATGTCAGAAGGAGGACCTGATTGACTGGAGTTGACTGAAACCGGAAAGTGGAATCAGTGAAAGTGAAATAAGGGAGGACTACTCTACCCTATTTATCTTCTCATATATAAAATAGAGTCAAAATAACACATTTTTCAACTACTTAGCCCAATAGGGATTATTTTGATTGATCCTATCTGTAAGATTTTAAAGTTTTGTTTTACTACACACAACTGTTAAACAATATAACAATTGTGAATACCTGAAAATGGGACGTTTTTTCATCTGGTGATATTTTAGCAGAGACATGCTTGGAAGGGATGGTGACTGGTCAGTCACATTTACTAAATAAAAAATATTATTGATACAGAGGTGTTGAACATTTTCCTGGACAGTATGCTAAAGATTCATTAATTGTAAAATGAAGTTCTCCCTATTTGGCTCCAGAAACATAGCAGTGCTAGGCTTTAGGTATGACAGGGGTGTGAAACGCTTAGGATTCAGGGAGCATTCCAGCTCAGCTCTGGACAGCTCTGAGACTTAGGGGAAGTCACTAAGCTTTTCCTAGCTTCATGTTACTTCTCCAATTTCTTCATAAGATTGCTTTGGGCAGTTAGTTTAACTGAAGTTGATTTGAAAAGTGGTAAGTATTATATATATATATATATATATATATATATATAATATGTGCGTGTGTTTGTTTTCTATATAATATATACACACACACACATATATATAAAATAAACTTTTAAGTGTTTTAAATAAAACTATTAAGCATTATAATTTCTGATATATTTAGTTGTAATTAGTTAGCATTTTTCCTTCTTCCCCATTCTATGCATGTTTTTATATATTTTCCCCACATGTTCATTCCTTAGGGCATTACACTAGAAGAGTTTGACAAATTGTCTTTCAATATGATTTTAATGAGCCCTCCCTGTCAGCCATTCACCAGGTATGTATGACAAATATTTCTCTGTTGAAGAAGAGTACTTTTGAGGGATTCATTAAATCAAATTATACCATAGTTTCAAGCATGGACACTTTGAAGACTGTCAGCTGCATTTTCATAATTTTGAAAATTGTCATAAATAGTGCTTTTTATCTACTCATTTATAATTCAGCATTAATCCAAAAGGAAATAGCAGTTACTACCAAATGAGCAAAGCAATTCAGTCAGTAGAAGATACGCAGAGACTATATGGGACCTCCTTTATACTTACCTAAGATATGATAGATATTTTTTTCTGACCCAAAGTACCTTACATTAAACTCATGAGCATTCAAGAGTATCTTTTTAACTGATTAATAAAGTAAGTTTTCATAATAAATATTCAGTTCTTAAATAACTATAAAATTTAAAAGCTAATCAAGAATGGATTAGTAAATTTTACATTTCTCAATTCATATATACATTGAATAATTAATTGTGACTTTTTATAGCTATGTTGAAATTCATTTTTTTATTGTATTTATTGGCTGTGTGTTTCAGGAAATTATATCTTAGATGAAATCTTGAGCAATCTATCTTCATTTAGATATTTTTAATTGTTTTAAATAATAAGGATAATCCTCTGTCTTACATGGAGTTTGCCATTTAATTTAACATGCCTATGGGATAGGCATTACTATTATCATCATTTTATTGGTGAGAAACTGTGGCATAGAAAAGTTAAGTAACTTTTTGAAGGCCGTACAATTGGAAAATGTCAGAGCAAGGATTTATCAATTCTTTTATATATTTCTATTTCAATGTGTAAGATAATTTTAAGTGGGATATCACATATCATAAATATTCTAATTTAAATGAGTATTTTCAGGCTTAATGTCCAGCTAAGTTTTGCTTTATTTATTTCATTATCTATTTTTTAAAAGTTTATTTATTTATTTTGAGAGAGAGAGAGTGCTGAAGGAGCAGGGGGGGGTTGGAGAGAGAATCCCAAGCAGGCTCTGCACCATCTGCATGGAGCCCGATGTGGGGCTCGAACTCACAAACCATGAGTTCGTGACCTGGGCCGAAATGAAGAGTCGGACGTTTAATGGACTGAGCCACTCTGGTACCCCATAAGTTTTGCTTTAATAAACAACTCTCTAGGAAATTAATTCTCCAAGGATTTATTGTGTGCCTGGAAGCCAGACATTGCTTTTGATGCCATAGTTACCATCCTCAAGGAGCTTATAGTCTAAGGGAGATGACTGACAAAGAATTCTCTTATGAGGTGGTATAAGCTATATAATAAGTGAATGCTGGAAGTGCCGTGAGAGCACAGAGGAGAAAATGGCTTGCTGCATACCAGGAGACAGGATTTTGACAATTTTTTTTTTTTGTCAGGAGACAGGAATTCTTTTAGAGGCAATATCTGAACTGTATCTGAAAGCAGTTTGGGAATTTATCAGAGAAGGCGTAGGGCAATCCATGTAAAAATGCCTCCAAGCATATGCAGTCATAAGGCCTGTTTAACTTACAGTGAGTAGAGCTACAGAACAGAAAGCAGTCCCAGCACTGTGCAGCCTCCTACACTATTGCCCTGGGCCCCCTGTGTCTTCCGTACTACCACTCCCAACTGTAATAGCCCATCTCCAGCTGCTGATGGCAGCAGTAACCGATTCGGTAACACTGCCATCGTTGGAGTGCTGAGAGGAAAGGGCCACAGTGAGAAGAACCCAAGATTTCCTGAGGCCTGTATTCAAGTCCACTGTAAGTGTCCCTCTGAGCCTCACATCCATGGATGGTTCTGGCCTTGCTGGAAGGCAGGAGGAAACTGACAAGTGACATCGAGCAACTCATCTAAGGCAATGGAGCTAATAAGTACCAAAGTCTTAAACCTGTTTCTGTTTCTACCACCTAAGCCCAATCCAAGTCTTCATTTCTGTGTGATTCTTGGTCGTATTGAACCTTGCTTATAATATCTAATTGCTAGTCCAAATACTGCCTGTTTCCATGACCTGTTCTGACCTAGTTAGTCTAACCAAGTTGCAACTCCTGCTTGTAGAATCAAGCATTCAGGTCTGTCCAATGTATATTGGACAAGATTGTCTTAGTCTTTCCTACTATGGTCTGCTTGGATGATTAGTTATCAGTGCCATTCCTCTATGGTTGCCACCCTACCCAACCAGCTCATTCATCTGAACTATTGTTGTCTCATCTGGGACAGAGCAAAAGGTGTCATCAGCCAGCGTGTGTGTGTGTGTGTGTGTGTGTGTGTGTGTGTCTCTGTGTGTGTGTGTGTGTGTGTTTCCTAAACAGTGATTTTAACAGGTTAATTGATTTTAGTCTTTATTGGTTATTTGTTCTTTGTTTCATGTAAGTCATTTGGCATACTGTTTTATAAGAAGTGTATTTATTAGATTGGCAAGGCTTTTTTTTTAATTAAGTGAATAAATGCATTTTGTTCCCTGTAGTAACAAACATGATCATATTTTTTGTGAAGACCACCTAATTTTAGTTTTCTCAGTCTTTATGTTTTAAAAGTGACTTGGTATCTTTCTATAAGTAAGATTCATGGTGACTTTTATCTGAACGTTCTTTATCCTTTAGAATTGGCCTGCAAGGTGATGTGACTGATCCAAGGACAAATAGCCTCTTACATATCCTAGATATTCTCCCAAGGTAAAAATTTAATTTTTTTTTTTTTTTTACCAGCTTACCCTAACTTTAAAATTTTGGATCTGGAAGAATGTGGCATTTGTCATTCTGTAGAGATTAGCAGCTTATCCATGCAGCTTTCAGAGGCTCTGCATGTCATTTATTTCTTCTGCCACGACTTACAGAATCACACAAATGTTTGCCATTTCCACGGCTGCCACTACAGTGAGTGACAGGGAATGAGAGTCTAACAGTTAAATTCTATCGCCTCTCCTTACAGTACCAATGGAAACAAGGCTAATATTGGTGAGTCCTGTTGCCCATGGCCTGGAACGTGGGGCCAACCCTAGAAGCTGCCATGCTATGTAAACGATAGCCCTTTGCAAGTTGTGCAATCCAGAGCCTCTGTGTGAACCCATGTTTTCTGATAAACTTCACTGGAAATTAACGTTTCAAATGCGAGCTTCATTAGGTATGCCATTTTTATGGGGAAGATGAATAAAATATGAGTTGCCTCTATCCCCTCTAAAATTCTTTTATGAAAACAAAGAATTCAGAAAAATTACTTACCTCATATCTTCAAGTAAGGATTTTCTTTACTTGTTACTTCTTAATAATGACATGTGCAGAATTCTACTTGTTTTTGTTTTTGTTTTTAGATTACAAAAATTACCGAAATACATTCTTTTAGAAAATGTTAAAGGTTTTGAAGTATCTTCTACAAGGTAAAAATGTGTTTGCTTTGTGTTCATCTTAAACTTGGTATATTGTGGGAGCCGTTGTGAAATAAAGATCTTAAAAATAAACACATACATTCTGACATTTTATATATGTTGTATATTTTGTTCAGTAATACAGATTTTAACTAATTAATAATGTAAAGTTTCACAAAGTTAGGTTCGCCTGATTCCCATTTTGATATGTTGGAATTTTTGCAGAATGATCACGCATTTAAATGAGAATGGTATTTCTCAATTTCAGCTGCTTATATTGTTGCCTGTTTCTTTAGAAGTAGGAATGTTTTCAGTAGACATGTCCCTGTTGACAGGCATTTTGTGTCCTCCAGTTAGGAGAAGCAAGCCCTGTGTCAGAGCCCTCTCAGATGGTAGCCCAGCGGGAAAGTATCTGTGTCCTTGAATCAGCCACTGTCTGTATGTAACAGCTCCCGCATCTGATTTGCTACAGACAGAGCTCTATCCCCATAGCAAATATATCATCAGTAGACTAGTGATTCTAGCTCTCACCAGTTGGGATAAATTATCTGGCAGCTTTATTTATTTATAATAGAAATTATCTCTATCTTGTTTTGAGAAATGTAATTTTTCAAGTACTGCACTTAATAAAGACCTAGGATCATTCGCTTCCTAAACAATTTGGGTAGCGACACAGTTTTCACATAAAATGAAGTTTTATGTATAATTTATTGTATAAGAACCCCATTTCCAACCACAGAGTGAAAGCTTTTCTTTTTTCTTTATTTTTGTCTTTGTCTTTCAGAGACCTGTTAATACAAACAATAGAAAATTGCGGTTTTCAGTACCAAGAATTTCTGTTATCTCCAACCTCTGTAGGTACCAAAATTATAAATTTTTCTATAAATTTTCCCAAAGGGAATTTGACTCAATAAAAAGAATGGATCTGTTTTGAATATTTTATGTAAATCTTGAAATTAGTTCAGACATGGTTCTTTCTGAAGAATGTAGTACAGACACATAGATTCATTTATATACATATTTTATGGAAAATATATATTATATAGCTTGAAGCTCACAGAAAATGTAAATTTATTTCCACACAGAAAATAAAGGATACTGTGTTTTGAAATCTGTGACATTTGGTATTTCCAAATTGGGTGTACTGTAGTTTATAATGCTTCAAAATAATCCAAAATAGAAAGCAAAATGAACAGATGATAATTTTCTAGGTAGTCTTTTGGGGACATATCACTAAAATGCAAACATGGTGAAATGTTGTCATTTGCAGCAACAGGGACGGAGCGAGAGGGGGTAATGCTAAGCAAAATAAGTCGGAGAAAGACGAATATCATAGGATATCACTCATATGTGGAATTTAAGAAACAAAACAAAAGAGCAAAGGAAAACAAAAAAGAGAGATAAACCAAGAAACAGACTTTTAGCTACAGACAACAAATTGATGGTTACCAAGAAAGGATGAGGGTTGGGGATGAGTGAAATAGGGGATGGGGATTAATGAGTATACTTACCCTGATGAGCACCGCGTTGTGTTTGCAAGTGTTGAATCACTGTTTTGTACACCAGAAGCTAATATAACACTGTATGTTAACTAGACTTCAATTAAAATAAAACAAAATGCAAACATGACTGCTATTTCATGGATATGAAATCAAAGGAGGTGGTTAAGAGAAGATATTTGGTAGATCTTTTATATTACAAGTATCACCGTCTGTTTTTTCTTTTGCCATTGTGTTTGTTAACCTCCTATTTATTATCTTTAGCCTATTATACAGTTATTTGTCCTGAAATTAAAAAGAAAACCCATTTAAAAAGTACATGTACTATGGAAATTGGCATTATGTCTGGTCTCATTAGGTTTATTTCATATTTATTGCCTTTTAACTTTAAAATTAGTGTATCCTCCTTTTTTAATAAAAGGAGGTAATAAATTGCCAAAAATAGCCATAGCCGAATTTTACTTTTTATGATTACTATTAATAATGAATGTAAGGATGTCTATATAATTTCTTACCTGGGAATTACAAAATGAAAGTGACTCAGACACCTATGACTCATCCCATGCAATCTCTGTTCATTCAAGTAAAGGTACAAAGCAACTTAAAAGGTTTGAGAATTTGCTACAAAAATATCTTCCACAAATCAATAATAGAACTTTTCTGACAGAAACTAAATGCATTCCTGTATGAGTCGTTTTTTACTTGGGTGCTCACAGTCGATTCATGTCTCTTTAATTTCCTACAGTAACTAACTGCTTGCTTCACTTGCAGCTCGGCGTTCCAAATTCAAGGCTACGGTATTTCCTCATTGCAAAGCTTCAGTCAGAACCATTGCCTTTTCAAGCTCCTGGTCAGGTGGTATTATTATTATTATTATTATTATGTAAGTTTATTTCAGTCTGCTAATTTATTTCAAGAATGACTTTGTAGGAGCTTACATGTGTCCTGTTGAGCCTATAATCTAGACCACCACCTAGGTCCAACTCCTAGACCTTTTTCCTCTCCCGATGCCGTTTATTGCTTTAAACAAGACAAAAAATAAAAACTTTTCTTTCATTATTAGAAGAAAATAGAAGTTAAAGGTTGTAAAAACTATTATTAGTGCTGTTATCCTCCTTTTCTCCCCTGTAATTTCCCTTCTGACCATTGACTATTTTGCGTCTGTCGTTTTCCCCCCAATAGAAGCCATTGATTATTTCAGATAAAACTCAATTATACTGTCTTAAAACTGGCTTAACAGTATTCTAACCCATTGGTTGCGTTTTCTTTGAGGTCAGTGCTATATAGCCTTCATTAATTAAAATACGGTGATTACTACAAGCCAGAATAAAATGCTCTATTGCTATAGATAGGATCTCTAACTGTGCAAACAACTGTACATATTTCTGTTAAAATTGCTGTGGAAAACAGGGACTGTCACTGGTTCGGTGAAGCTCTTCTTAACAATCACAGGTGAGAACTCAAAAGCCACGTCCTCCTAGCAGGGGGTCAATAGTGTCATTTGGATCCCTTGCAATACGATACCAATACATCTGCCTTTCCGTGGCGGTCAGTTCCCAAAATGGTATGTAAACTATATTCACAAAGACATCATCATTAAAAATTCCGGGAACTATTTTTCTTTCACAAAATAGGACATTATGTATGCTTATATGTTTTGCAGGAACAAAGTTTTCCTATGGGACTCACAAAGAGAAATAACCTTTCAGGGGGAAACATGCTTTCCTTTTCGTAATTACTAGTTTCCCTGTAGATCATGGGTATGTTCCAGCTTTTCTTTTTTAATGAAGGAATATGGCAAATTTTGATCCGGTGCACGTTTTCTGGAAATGTTAATGTTGCTGTCTCTCTTTTCTTTTTATTTTTTTAAATGCTATGCCTTTTATTCTGCTGACTTAGTCATTCTGTAACTAAAGTTGCTTTCTAAACTTCTTTTTTAAATATGATACTGTATCTGTATTCAACATACTTCCTATTTGTTGAATGTTTTCATTAATAAATATAGGAAACAGTAACTCCAGGAAATAAATCATCTGTAGCCTGAGGACACTACAGCTATATGATGAAAAACTTATAATAACTTGTATACATACAAGTAAATCCAGTTTCTGTATTTTTGTTGACAACTCTGTAAAGGCTAAAGAGATTTTTTTGCATAATGTTGTTGGGGCATTATTAATTTATCTTTTATTTTTTAATAAATCTTTTAACAGGTCATGTATTTTTACTTAATGCCAGGTGCTGAAGGAGTTCCCCAAACTTGAATCTGAACATCCAGAAAAAAATACAATACTTGCAGAAAATAAAATTGAAAGAAAGAAAATGGAACCAAATATTTGCTTTGATAATGGCAGACAATGTTCTGGAAAAGAAGCCATTCTTTTTAAGCTTGAAACTATAGAAGAAATTGACCGGAAACATCAGCAGGACAGTGATCTCTCTGTGCAAATGCTAAAAGATTTTCTTGAAGATGACATTGACACGAATCAGTATTTTTTACCACCAAAGTCACTGTTGCGATACGCTCTTTTGTTAGACATTGTTAAGCCCACTTGCAGAAGGTCCACATGCTTTACCAAAGGGTAGGTTTTAAAGAGACTTTTAAAATGGCATATTCAAAATAGACAGGTTTTTATCGTTATTGTTTCTTTTAGTTCTTCTCAAAATAAGGACCATTTTAGAAAATGTTTCTACTAGAATGATTTTTTTTTTTTTTTGCCCTTAATTGCCTGCTTTCGTGTTCCAATAGAATGCACGAGTAAAAATTCCTTCTGGCAGAACATTATGTGCACAGCCCACAAAAGTGCTCATAAAACACAATGCCATTTGTTTGGTGACCTTCATAAGAGCTTAATTACCCATGGTGGAAACATGGTTTCTATTGATACTGAATTGCTACTTTTTAGCACCTTTCTTTTTATGGCACATCAGACCTCAAAATTTATGTCCACTCTCATGATCAAATGTATAAGAAGACATTAAATTTTAATATCAAGAAATAAAGTTAAATCATGTAATGCACATTAGAGCATATTTAAATTTCATTCAGTTTTTTTTTTCAACATTTATTTATTTTTGGGACAGAGAGAGACAGAGCATGAACGGGGGAGGGGCAGAGAGAGAGGGAGACACAGAATCGGAAACAGGCTCCAGGCTCTGAGCCGTCAGCCCAGAGCCTGACGCGGGGCTCGACCTCCCGGACCGCGAGATCGTGACCTGGCTGAAGTCGGACGCTTAACCGACTGTGCCACCCAGGCGCCCTCATTCAGTTTTTAAAATAAGTAATATATTTTTATGGTTCCAAATTCAAAAGGTACAAAGATTGTGAAATTCCTTTCTCTATCTCTTGCTTATCCAGTTTTCCTGCCTACATGCAGGAAATTAGTGATTTCAGTTTGCTGTCTAATCTTCCCAAGGTATTATGTATGAGGGTGTATTTAAATATACATGTATATTTTTACCACCTTATTAAGTAAATGGTAACATACTATATCTATTATTATGTACTTTTTTCATTATGCAATATAAATTGGATATTATTACACATGAGTACATAAAGAACTTTCTATTCTCATGGTATATATATCACAGTGTCTTTTATTGGTTACCTTTGGGTTATTTTTTGAATGTTAGAATATTTTTCATCAATGTTTTAAAACCTACAAAGAAGGGGAAAATTAGGCCTTTCCAGAAAATTTTGTAAAAGACCCCTATCTCTGCTTTGTTAACTCCACCCCTGGGGATGAGTAAACCGTATGATTTGAAACTTGAGGCCCTCTCTTTTCACCCACTAGCTAGCTAGCTTTCATGCACACTCTGCTCCTGATAAAACCATACCAGATTTATTCTGATTTTTATCGTGCTCTGCCCTTGGACTTCCAGGGTATCAGGTTTATTACTTTCCATTGCCTTCAAAGACTGTACTCAGCTGTTGTCTGTTTCCAAGTCCGATAAGACAAGACTTATCAATTTGGTAATAAAAAACAACCTTGAAATTCATTTGTAATTATAAAGATGGTATAAAGGAAGCCTTAGTATAAAAGTATTTTTTAGTGTAAATAGTATAAACATTTTTCTTTCTATCTATCTATCTACACACACACATACGTGGTATGTGAGAAAACAGATTTGCAAAAATATTCTTCCTGGTGTAACTTTCTCTCACTTTATCTATTAGGGAAAAAAATAATGATAATATTTTAAACAGCTAGCTTGGCAGTGATTTTAGGGGAAGAAATATTTCTAATAACTTGCATTTCTGTAGGGTTTTGTACTTTTAATACAGTTTCTTATACAGGGGTCTCTTTGTTGTATGAAAAAGAGTGCAAACCTACTGCGTTAACAGTGAGAGGGAGACGCACATTCAGTGGGCCTGTGTTTGTCGTGGTCTTGGAGAGTGTGGTTTTCAGCTCATGAGGAGCAGTGATGGTTCAGGCATTATGAGAAATAGTGACAATTTGTTTTCACCTACATAACATTTGGTTTAACGTGCCAGGAGTGTTGATACTGAATAGCCTTTGGATAAAAAGTCCTAACAAACTCATGCTTTCTATGATGAACAGTAAGAAATTGACAGTTAATACAAAGAAATGGTAATAATGCATGACTCAGCGTTGTTTTTACACAACTCAAAAAACTATGCCGAATTTAGTGTCTGAGAAATTTAAATAGAATTATCTTGTGTCTCATCTGGCAACTTTTCACTTACAAAGCATGTTGATGTGTTTCAGACAATTTCAGAAGGATGTAACTATTTAGATTGATTAATTCATTCAAGAAATATTTAAGAAATTTCACATCAACAAGTACATCAGATGCTACATAACATACATATTAATCTTTCAGTTATGGAAGCTACATAGAAGGGACAGGATCTGTGTTGCAGACCTCAGAGGACGTGCAGGTATCGTATATGCTTTAGAGCTAAAATACTTGAAAACTATGTTTAAGACTTAAGATCTGAGAATATTAAAATAATTTTACATGTCTAATTCAGAATTAATATACGTTATTTATTCATATTTTCATATAATATAGTGTATATAATAATTCTTTACTATAGGATAAATCTTTTTTGTTTCTCGTTGCTAGATGAGTTTATGTACAAAGAATATTTTGTTTCACTTTCTCTGTTATTATTCTTACCTTTGGTATTCTTTTTATTCCATAAGGAGTAAATTGAAATGCAGCATACAGTAGTTAATGTTCTCTAAAATTATGTACAAATATCTTAATATTGGAGGCTTTCTTTGGATCACACATTATAAAACTGCCTTTTAGGGACAGAAATCTACATCTCAGCAAGACTCTTCATTAATACTTCACTTGTAAACTCTTCATGGCATCATGGTTGAAAACAAGCTTGAGGGGCTCCTGGGTGGCTCTGTCGGTTAAGCATCTGCCCCTTGATTTCAGCTCAGGTCATGACCTTGTGGTTTGTGAGATCGAGCCCCATGTTGGCATCTGTGCTGACAGTGTGGATTCTCTCCCTCTCTCTGTCTGCCCCTCCTCTGCTCATGCACTCTCTCTCTCTCACTCCCTCAAAATAAATAAATAAACTTTAAAAAAAAAGATAGTTTAAAAACAAACAAGCTTGATATACTTACTGCAAAAATATCTCATATTTTTGCATAATTTTGGACTGAAATCACATTATCTTCTTTTATCCTGATTTGAACTTACCATTAGTACAATTTACCCATGGTAAAAATCCTATCAGAGGCAAATGAATGAATCTGAGAAGTTAAATTTACCAAGTGTATTTTATCATTTTAAGAAAATATCTTAATTTGATGAAGTTGATCATAAACATTGAACATTTTAATGATCCACTTATTAGCATTATGAAATTGATTTCCTTGGTTGATCAGGTTTCTTCTTGTCTTTCACTGTATTTCTTCACGTCTTATTGCCATTGTTTATTTCTTACAGTTTCATTTTTGAGGGCTCAGAAATAATAGGTAAACTGAATGTTTCCTGATTTGCTCAACATTAAGCTTTTCATTTTTTTTTCATTTTTTTTTAACGTTTGTTTATTTATTTATTTATTTTTCAACGTTTATTTATTTTTGGGACAGAGAGAGACAGAGCATGAACGGGGGAGGGGCAGAGAGAGAGGGAGACACAGAATCGGAAACAGGCTCCAGGCTCTGAGCCATCAGCCCAGAGCCCGACACGGGGCTCGAACTCACGGAGCGCGAGATCGTGACCTGGCTGAAGTCGGACGCCCAACCGACTGCGCCACCCAGGCGCCCCAGCAAGCTTTTCATTTTTAAACATTACGATTTCAAAGTTTACATTGCCATTGATGAAACAATTATAGAGTTTATTGCAGGGGATGTTTTGCCCTGTGCGTTTTGCTCCCGTGTATTGTAGCACATACAATACATACATGTATGTTCATCCTTTTTAAACTGCATCACAAGAGATGATCTTATCTTAACAAATCTGCTTGCACTCTACTTTATCAGTTATCCTGGCTGTTTTCTTACAGATTGAGAATGTCTACAAATCCCTCACCAATTTGTCACAAGAAGAAAAGATAACAAAATTATCAATGCTTAAACTTCGGTATTTCACTCCTAAAGAAATAGCAAATCTCCTTGGATTTCCTCCAGACTTCGGTATGTGAGATACACAGACCCCAGCTTTCGTTTAAGGTCCCAGAATTCATCAAGGACTCTTGTGTGTATTTGATGAATAGACCCTTGCCCAGACAGATGGACGTAAGAAACCTTCTTCCTTTCCTGATGGTGCCATTTTTGACATTTTCCTTCCCTCCTCTTTCTGCTTCTGTTCATAACCTGCCTCAGCCCCTTCCTTTCAGGCTCCATTCTCTCTCCCTTTACTCCAGTCATGGTCCCAAGTGGTTTTCAGGGGACAAGGGCCAAATCTGCAATTCCTCACCTCTCCCCACCGATGGTTGCTAATAGCATGTCCTTCTCCAACTTACTTTCTTGATACCAGAGGTCCTGTTCTAATAACCCCACATAGATCTTGTGAAATAATGTGTAGGTTTGTCCTTTTTGTGAAGAAATTAAAAGGTGGCTGAGGATTTTGTTTTCTTGGTGGTAAGTGTATTTGTATTTCTTCTCAGAGATACATTCTTATCAGTTATGTACCTTTTGTCCTCCCTATAAGGAGAGAAACAAGAAGGTGGAGAGGTGGTCTAGGAAGGAGTCTTCCGCGTGGAAAAAAAAGGGTGGGTCAGCAGCACAGCTGCCAGAAGCGACCAAAGATTACGGAGTCTAAACTAAAGCAGGGAATCTCAAGAACAAAAATGCAGATACAGAGTGAGAAAGACAAAGTCCTAGCTCCTTCGTAGTCCAGGAAATCCAGGGATGGATGCTGTTAAGAGATTGGACAGGTTGTCTTTGCTTTGGCTTTGCAGAGTCCCTGCCCCATCCCTGATCCCACTTTCCTGGTGCCTGTGCTCTCAGCCATACTGACACCGTCAGTGTCTTAGGCTGGGGTGGCTGTGTTCCCAGTACCTGGCTCGCGCCGACCGGAGAGAGACAGACCTCCCTAACGTGTTCCAGGACTACACAAGGACACAGTGTGTTTTTGATAACTCTGGGAGTTTGAAAGCAGAAAAGTGGAACTTGTCTAAATCCAGTATTGTTGTAATATTAATACAGTACTATTTTTGAAGCAGATGACGGGTTAAATAGATCATGTTTTAAATTCTAAATGGTAGATTTACAGATGAGGTTTTGGAGCACATCCTTCTGTACGTTGGGAAGAAACTGACTATATAATTTGACTGTCCTCTTGGTAATTGGTTCTTGAAGGGTAGTCACGGCAACCAGGTTTATTTTGTAACTCTCTGCCTTTTTCTTGGTGATCTCATTCAGTCACAAATATCCTGGGGAGTGTTATTTAAGGAAAACACAAACTTTCCTTGTCTTAGTCTACGTCACACAGTAAAGTGAGAACATCATAAAACAAATAAAGAGCTGAGAATTGGACTCAAGAAATTAATTCCCAGTCTGCTCATTTGCTTACTATTTTTTTTTCTTTTTTAGATAAACAATCAAAGGTACTTTCCGTAGTACTAAAGAGAGAAAAGAAATTGAGTGTCTAATAACAAATTCCTACGTTTTGAGTGCTCGTTTCTTTCAGTAGGAGCAGTCACTGTGGTAACACTGAAAGGCAGCAGGGACCCCAGAGTCAGACTGGCCAAGTTTGAGTCCTAGCTGCACCTCAACCCCTCCCTGCTTTAGTTTACACATGTGTGGAGTGGGGGTCATCACAGCGCCAGTGTCAGAGGGTCCTAGTGACAGTTAAATGAGGTAACGTGTAAAACGCTTACACACTTTCTGACATACAACATCAAATTCAAATGTCAGCTTTTATTTGTAAAACAACGGACATTTATTTGCTTTCATAGCCTTTACTTCATAAATACTTCTCATTTGAAAATTTCACATATGTAAGTTAGAATTTTTCAAAGCTCTCTGCAAATGCGCATACACGGAAGTCTTTAAATTACTTCACCTTCTTTTAAAATATGTGATATATTTGTATGATCAGTATTGACCTGACATCACCCCTGAGCAGCACTGTGACAGAAATGTCCTTCCCGTGTGCTTCCAACATTATCGAGTCTGAATCTGAAATGGGCGTTGTTTGAGCTGCACTGTTAACAAGGGTTTTGCATCGATCCTTCCGTACATCGTGTGCTGGTTTTCTTTGTCACTAGTCGTATGCACTCGTGAGATAGTGAGCTTGGGAAGCGGACGCTGACCTACACTTACAGAATGAAAGCTGCTATCTTGACCTTGTTAATGCTATGTTTCTGTGTTTTTGAGCATCATTATTCTTTTTAGTGTACCTAAGTTTCTAAAAAGTCACCTTTTAATTTAAAAAAAGCTGTATCTGTATATAAAATACGCAAGCACCCTTACATATATGTCATTTTTACAAATCTCACTTGTTTGCTTTCAAACATTTCTTGCCCTGTGATATAATTTTAATATTACACGAGGTCATCCCTGGGATATTCTAAAAGTCTGTGATATAGTTGCATCTTTGGCTCATTTGAATGAAATAATTTTTTAGATGACTAATGTGCTTGCCTAAGACATATTATCTTTATAATGGCAATTTTATGATCTTGCTCAATTGCATATGTAATTTTATTATGTGACCACTTCTTTTATTGCAGTAAGTATAATGTAAAGTGTTGATGAAGCAATTTTATCACAGTCAACTCTACCTTCTGGTCCTCACAAAATATGTATTTTGCTTTTCTTAATACTTTTTAATTATTTCCTTCATCTTATTATCTAAATTGCCTTTCCTTTATTTAATTGTGTGCCAGAGGAGACTGAATATGAAAATGGTAACTAACCTTACAGGGTATACTTCACGGACAGTCTTTTATGTTGATACTTGCAAGGTTCTGTTCTAGCAAATGTTGTATCTATGGGCCATTTGTTTTGAAAAAGAATGTAGCAAAATAGAAGTCCAATGTGAGAAAGCCCATTTGTGGAAGCAGAATATAAAAAACAACTGTGAGGGACTTGTATCCAGAATATATGAAGAGCTCTTATAACTCAACAATAAAAAGAAATAATCCAATTAAAAAATGGGCAAAGGATTTGAATATTTTCCAAAGAAGATAGACAGATGGCCAATAAGCACATGAAAAGATGTTCAGCATCATTAGTTATTAAGGAAATGTAAATCAAAACCACAATAAGATACCACTTCACAAAAAGACAAACAATAACAGTGTTGGTAAAGATGTGGTGAAATCAGATCCCTTGTACACCTCTGGTGGGAATACAAAATGGTACAGCTGCTCTGAAGAACAGTGTGCAAGTCCTCAAATGTTAGACATAGAGTTACTGTATGAGTCAGCATTTTCACCCCTAGGTATATATCCAAGAGAACTGAAAACACATGTCTCCACAAAAATGTATACAAGAGAATAATTCATAATCAAAAAGTAGAAACAACCCAATATCTATCAATGGATAAGTGGATAAATAAAATGTGGCATATCCGTGCGATAGAATATTATTTAGTTAAAAAAAGGATGGAGTATCGCTACATCATGTTGTGATGAATGAATGAACCTTGAAAATATGCTAAGTGAAAGAAGCCAGAAACAAAAGACAACATATTGTGTGGTTCCATTTATATGGAATGTCCAGAATAGGCAAATCCATAGATATGGAAAGTAGATTAGTGCTTCAGGGGCAGGGAGGGGAGCTGGGGAGTGATTGCTAATGGGTACCAGCTTTATTTTTTTTTTTAAAAATTGAAGTATAATCGAGATGTAACATTAGAATACCTTTGGGTATACAGTGGGATGATTTGATATTTGTATACATTGAGAAATGATCACCACAAAAAGTGTGGTTAACATCCATTGCCATATATCAGACATAGTTACAAACATTTTTTGTTTGTGATGAGGACTTTTAAGACCTATTAGTAACTTTCAAATACACAATATAGTACTAGTAACTGTAGTCTACACCATGCTGTAAATGACATTCCCATGACTTGTTTATTTTATAGCTGGAAGTTTATACCTTTTGACCTCTTTGACCCATTTAGCCCCTCCCCCCCAACCACCAGTCTATTCTCCGTATCTGTGAGTGTGATATTTTTTTTCTTTGCTTGCTTTGTTTCTTAGATTCCACATTATAAGTGAGATCATAGAGTGTTTGTCCTTTTCTCTCTGACTTACTTCACTTGGTATAATGTCCTCAAGGTCCACCTGTATTGTTGCAAATGGTGATATTTCATTCCTTTTTTATGGCTGAATAATAATTCGTGTGTGTGTGTGTGTGTGTGTGTGTGTGTGTGTGTGTGTGTGTGTAAGTTCTTTCCATATCTTGGCTATTGTGAATAATGTTGCAGTGAACATAGGGGTGCATATATCTTTTCGAATTAGTGTTTTCATTTTTATCCCACAAATACCCAGAAGTAGAGTCGCTGGATCATATGGTAGTTCTGTTTTTAATTCATTGGTGAACCTCCATGCTGTTTTCCATAGCGGCTGCACAATTAATATACATGCCCTCAATATATTTTGGATATTAACCCCTTATCAGATATATGATTTGGAAATGTTTTCTCCCATTCTGTAGGTTGCCTTTTCATTTTGTTGATGATTTTCTTTGATGTGTAAAAGGTTTTTAGTTTGATATAGTCCCACTTGTTTAGTTTTGCTTTTTCGACTTTGCTTTTGGAGTTAGATTCAAAAAAATTGTCGCCAAGACTGATGTCAAGGAGCTTACTGCCTGTTTTCTTTTAGGGGTTCTGTGGTGTCAGTTCTTACATTCTAGTCTTCAGTCCATTTTGAGTTAATTTTTGTATATCAGAGCTTGATGCTTCCAGCTTTGTTCTTCTTTTACAAGATTGCTTTGGCTGTTTGGTATCTTTTGTGGTTTCATATGAATTCTAGGATTGTGTATTCTGTTTTTGTCAAAAATGCCCTTGGAATTTTGATAGGTATTGCATTGACTGTGTAGATTGCTTTGGATACTGGGCATTTTAATAATAATTCTTCCAATCCATGAGCACAAGATATCTTTCCATTTATTTGTGTCTCGTTTCTTTCTTTGGTGTCTTGCAGTTTTTAGCATACAGATCTTTTACCTTCTTGATCAAATTTATTTGTAGGTATTTTGTTCTTTTTTATGGGATTGTAAATGGGATTGTGTTCTTAATTTCTCTTTCTGATAGCTTATTGTTAGTGTGTAGAAACACAACAGATCTTTGTATATTAATTTTGTATCCTGAGGCTTCACTGAATTCATGTATTCGTGCTAACAGCTTTTTTGGTGGAGTCTTTGGGGGGTTTGTGTATAATATGTCATCGGCAAATTGTGACAGTTTTACTTTTGCAATTTGGATGCCTGTTACTTCTTTTTCTTTGCCTAATTGCTCTGGGTAAGACTTCCAATACTTTGTTGAATAAAAGTGGCAAAAGTGGGCATCCTTGTCTTATTCCTGATCTTAGAGGAAAATGTTTAGCTTTTTACTTTTGAGTATGTTATTAGCTGTGGGCCACATTCTTTGTGAGGCAATAAACATATTCTGGAATTAAATAGTGGAGATGTATGCAAAACTCTGTGACTGTCCTAAAAACCATTGACTTGTATATTTTAAAAGGGTGAATTTTATCCCCATAAAGCGGTTTTTAACTAAAGGAAAACAACTGTGAAATAATGGTAGCCACAGTTTTTCCTAAAGTGTGTTGATATACAGATTTCTGTGAGTTTTGCGGAGGGTATGTGTGTAATTATGTGTGCACTGAGCATAATATATGTTATATGATAGGATAATGTCACATGGTGTAGGCATTGTAATTTTAGATAATATTTTTGGCTTCAGATTCCAATTTCTTAATTGAACTTCGTGGAGACCTCAGGGACTTATTTATGTGAATGACCACTGTGCTCCTACTAAAGGATGCATCCTTTTGTCTCTGGAAGTTTGTATTATAAATGATTGTCTTGTAAATTATTATCTCTCTTTTCTAGGATTTCCTGAGAAGATAACAGTGAAACAGCGTTATCGTCTACTTGGAAATAGTCTCAATGTGCATGTAGTAGCTAAACTAATCAAAATCCTATATGAATAATTTAAAAATAACTCTGAAAGATGGTCACATTATTTATTCATATCCAGATAGTAATTCTGAAATTCTATTTTGAATTGATTTTGATGAAATTTAACTAAACTCTCTTTATCTCTCTTGAAATTTAACTAAACTCTCTTTATCTCTCTTTAAAAAGAAATTTGGATTTATCATAAAAATGCTGATTTTTAAAAAAATTTATATTACTGTATTTTGTAAAGCAAAAATTGCTATTATGCTTTACAAGAATATATTTTCATGTGAAATTGCTAAACATACATGTAAAATATTCTCTTTATAACATTATGGTATATACAAATTTAGGAACATTGGAGTTTGAATATCTACATAAATATTTTACAAAGTGTCATGATAGACATAGTATAGTGAACCTGAGAAATTATGTTTTTGTATGTTGCTTAAACAAATTGCTTTATGAATCCTATTATTTTATTTTATTTTATTTTATTTTATTTTATTTTATTTTATTGTCAGATTGATTATTCCTGATTTTAAAATGATGCTTCTAATTCTGGCCTGTTTCAAATATTGAATGTTTACTGAATTCCATCCTTTAAACATTTCTTAATTATATCTAAACAAATGCATATAATGTTTTAGACCAAATTATCATCATTCAGTGTTACACAGCCGTCTGAAGAAAGTGTCAGAAAAAATAATCCTAAATTCTTGATTATGTCTCCATCAGGAAGCTACAGAAAATGTAGGTAAACATTATCCAATTATCTTTAATTCTACCTCCATGTAAAATGCGAAACTTCATTGTCCGTTCTTTATTTATAAATATTTTCTTTTACTTTGCTGTCATCAGAGCTTGCTTTTGTCTTCCTTCTTAGCTTCTTGTTGTAAGTTGAATTTGCATCACATTCTAGGGAATGTAGTGTGGCATTCAGATTTTAGGGAGGAAATTCTGCTCTCCGACCCCATTTTATATGACTGTTCTGTGAATTAGCTTTTTAAACTTTCTCTTTCTCTCTCAGACTTCTTGGAATTATGGTTTCTTATCAGACTGTTTGTATTATAAACCCTGTGGTTTTATTTCAGTGATAAAAGCAAGTGACAGAAAGAAGAGAAATGAAAAGAAATAAGACCAGAAATTGTATCACAAAATAAAAAATATTTTCATTCTTTTTTTAAAAAATGTTTATTTATTTTTGAGAGAGAGAGTGCACACAAGCAGGAGAGGGACAGAGAAAGAGGGGGACAGAGGATCTGAAGCAAGCTCTGTGCTGACAACAGACAGAATATTTTTATTCTTAAAAGACAATCATTTCGACGTGGAGAAATCAGAACCCTGTGCATTGCTGGTGGAAATATAAAATGGTGAGCCACTGTAGTAAGAAGATGATTCCTTCAAAAAATTAAACCTAGAATTAACCTTATGATCTAACAATTTCACTTCTGAGTATATGCCCAAAAGGATTGAAAGTAAGGACTTGAACAGATATTTGTATACTAATGTTCATAGCACCATTATTCACAATAGCCAAAAAGAGGAAAGAGCCAACATACTTGGGTGAAGACTGGATAAACCAAATATAGTGTATACACACAGTGGAATATTATTCAGCCATGAAAACAAAGAAATTCTGATACATGCAACAACATGGATGACCCTTGAGGACATTATGGTCGGTGAAAGAAGCCAGACACAAAGGGACAAATTTTCTATAATTCCAGTTACATGGGGTATGTAAAAGAATCAAGTTCATAGAGATAGAAAGTAAACTAAGGGTTACCAAGGTTCGGGGTACCTGGGGAATAAGAGTTAGCATTGAATGGGTACAGAGTTCTGTTTGGGGTGGTAAAAAAGTTCTGGAGATGGTTAATGGTGGTGGTTGCACACCAATGGAAATGTACCTAATGCCACTGAACTGTATCCTTAAAAATCCTTAAAATGGCAAGTTTTATGTTATGTACATCTTATCACATTTAAATAAAAAAAGTCATTCCTCACCACCATTTCTTCAGAAAAACTCATAAATATGGACATAGGCCAATGTGTATATGTATCAGTGTTCACGTCTACATTATGTATATGTGTTTAAAGACAAACCTTATTACAAATCTCATAATGGGGGGGGATGGAGGGGATACGTTTATAGTTTAAAATCAGAATTGAGAATCAAGAAGTTCCCAAATAAGCCAAGATAACGTAATAAGGATCTAATTTGAAGCCCATATAGAGAAAGTAGTTAAAGTGTGTTTTCCTCAGGTTGTTATGTTATTGAAAAGAAGGCTAACTTTTCATAATTTGGCCTTCAGCTTGGAACTACAAGTCTTTTAGGTCACAAGTGGTAGACTGATTTACAGATAGCTTTGGACTTTGAAATTGAGTGAGGGTCATATGGTCTCAGCAGTTTTCTTATAGCCTGTGAACTCGTGTAACTTTTCAAGACAGCCTTTCAACGTTCCTGGACCAGAACTCTCTCCCTCTTAGCTTCCAGTGTCAAAGTGCACCGCAGACAACTCTCCTGTCAACTTCTTAACATTTGTTTTTCTTGGATCCACTTCCCATCCAATCCTCTTTCTCCATTCAGCAGACTCACCCAGATATCTAGATATGCCCCTTTGCACATTTTATTGAAAAGCAGTAAGAATCGTACACATGTTCCTCAACTTCAGTTTATACTAGTCAAGCTGTCAGCACCATTTTTTCCTTTCCTGTCCTCTCCTGTCATTCCTTTACTTTGCTACTGAAAATTTAACCCTTCAGTTTTAAAAACAAAAACAAAAACATTGTCCTAACCTCTATGTGTCTGTTTCTCTCTTTAGGACTTCTAAGAACATTTTACACTAAGATGGTCATGCTCTTCAAAATCGTTTGCAACCATGACCCAAACAATTTCACTATTTTTGTCTTGATTTGTGAGTTTATTCCTTTTTAAATGTATTTGTTCAGTAAATATGAACATGTGCAGAGAACTTTTTTGGCTTCTGATTCCCAAACTACTCAAATAAATTTGTTGTAGTCACCAGAGGTTCTGAGTCTTATTTTCAACTACATCCAGCACTGAGAGCTCTCTCTCAAGTACGCTGTATCTGATTCCTAAAGCTTTCTCAAACTTATTTTTCCTACTAATACGAACCTAGATAAAAATTTTCACAAAGGAGAAGATAGGAAGGTAATTTTCCCAAAGAGCTCTTCTGCATAGCTCTGGGATGTTCTCATTTCTTTGCTCGTACATAGCACGGTTCCATTGTTTACTTCAAGGATTTGTTCTGTATTTTATTTTGTTTGCACCTTTATGCCTATTCATATCAGGGCAGATTTAAATTATAAGCGCGCAAGTAGGGAACATGTTTATTTAGCCAAGTTGGCTCTATAATCAGATGAGATCACCTGAAGAGTCTAAAGAGAAAGGGGAGAGCAGAGGTCTGGAGTTGAATTCTTATCCATTACTGAAGATTCAGTCCTCAGGCCTCCCTACCCTTTACTATCCAAGCCATTTTTTCTAAGGTCTCACCCTTTCCTACAACTTCTGGGTTTTTTTGCCCATGATACCCAGGTAACTCCAGATCTGATATTGTTCCTCAGCCCTGTTCTAGAATTTTTGTGCTGGGATATTTTTAACTTGAGTATCTTTCTGTCACATCAAACTTAGCATATTTGAAAACAGTGAATCGTCCTCCATTTAAAAATCAGTTCCACTCATGATTAATTTCAATATTCCTCATCATGACACCACACTGCTTCTCTCCCAGTCTCCCAAATTCAAATCTCATCACCCAAGGTCATCATCACCTTTTCTCTCACTGTATTTCCATTTATCAGCTTCAGTTAATAAAGTAGTCTTCCTCAGAAGGCCTTCCCTGCACAATGGTTCACTTTAGGAAAACAGAAGAAGTCACTTTGAAACTTAAAGACATATATGCCCGTTTGCAACCAGATTTGTATGCTTGAGTCAACACTTGGACATTGAGCAAATTTCAGCCTTCTGAATTTGATCTAGCATGAATATCACTTTTAGTAAGATAGTTGTTATTTTACTCAGTTCCTTACACAAGTACAATTAAATGTCACACACACAAATGATTGAAAATACCTGATGGAATGTGAGAGTCCTTAGATAGTAGATATAAGTTGACTTTTCTGTTCAAAAACCTCATGCTACAGACGATTAGACAATGAGCTGGATAGTTGCTGTGATTCGAATTTGTTTTAAGTGAAAAATATCCCATGTTTTGGAGAATGTAGACTTCCAGGAGGGCAGGGGTTTTTGATTTTTCTTTTCCACTGCTACCTTCCCAGGGACTAAAATAGTACCTGGCACACAGCGAGCACTTAATAAATATTTGTTAAATGAGTGACTATGGCCACCATACTGGATTGATATAGAAGCTGTCTAAAGGCCGTCACACTGTGGAATTTAAACAGAGTCACTCTCCTGAGAACTATTTCTGTTACTGCCACTTCCTCCATACTTAGGGAAATAGCCAAATTTACTCAACTTTGGAACACATGATTTAAAAAACAATTCTAGGATAGGGCTTGATCTTTTGGCTTTTGAGGAAGATGTGCAGATAGAAATTTAAACAAATATGTATTGTACTCTGACTTCTTGTCTGGACAAGAGGGCAGGCTCATTTCTCTTTGCTCCTTCCTAAGTACAGTGATCAATTCTGGGTAAGTATGTTTATAAAATAATGCAAGAGGCATCAGAAAGAGAACTCTTAAAGGAGGGAAGAGAAAACAAACCAGCTAGGTAATCCCAAGACTGGCAAGGGAACATGGTTGCAGGATGTCTTACAGTCTCCCATCCAACAGAAGGAGGTGATCCAAGTTGGGTGCTTCCTGACTCCGAACCTCACATGAGAACCCAGCATGGCTCATTCCTATCCCAGATGGAACTGGGGTCCTGCTGCCAACACCAGGTGGGTCTGATATCACCAGCAAGTGCAATATATAGGGATCCCCACTGACAAGTGTCCAGGGGAAGCACTCTACTTTTCTGGAAGGCCTGAGATTCCTTTCACTTACT